GACCTGTTTGTTTCCTCTCCACCTATCCTCTCCTCTATCCCTCTTCTATCCGCCTCCCACTCTCTCCCTATTTATTTCAAAACCCCCTTCCCCTCCCCCTTTTCTGATGAAGGGTCTAGGCCCGAAACGTCAGCCTCTCTGCTCCTATGATGCTGCTTGGCCTGCTGTGTTCATCCAGCCCTGCACCTTGTTGTCTCCACCTACATGTTGATTGCTTTTGGCTTGCAGAGCAAATATTGGCTTTTTGTTCTTCCCATATAGTTCCATAATACTACTTCACTCCGTCTCTGCAAAACCTCTATCTTTTGGTTCTTCTACTGAGTTCTTTTATTCATTATCCTCCTTTATATTGTTTTATTACTGGGAGGAAACCTTTAGCTATAACTCCCTCTCTAAATCCTTTCATGTTAACGCTTAACCCTGAGTGTAAACAAAAACTTCTGAAAACTCGTCTTCAATCAACTTCCAGTCTCTTTTCCAAATTCCCTCACCATGACTAAGAAGCTTATTTAGTCCTTTATCGTAAAATGAAATTTTTCAAAAAACACCCTATTGTGATAGTCACTGTATTAAAGGTGTTATACACCTATAATTTGTTGCCACCTTAAATAAAGTAATGGTCTACACTGCAGAATGGTAATCAAAATCAACAAACAGTTACACCAAATCTGTTTGCTGTTTCTCATCTAGGTGATTGACTGGGTTTTGGAAAAAACTGATGTGAAGTGAAATTCCAGAAATGGGAAATCCTGCTGAAAGCTTCCTTAATCTGCTGGGATTTAATTGACAAGCTCTTCACGTGAATGCAGCATGAAGTAGCCAAAAATAAAAATGTGTTTAATTGTGTTACATAGCAACTTCAATGATTTTGTTCTTATTCTGAATGGTGAGGTACTTGGAGACTAGTAGAATAATTGAGATTATGCATTTTATTTTTGTATTGAAACTATGTGCATTTCATTCCTAAGACATTTATAATCCAGTTAAAGCTTTGAATCTTAAGTTTTTACTGTTTTTCAATTTTAAAATTAAAACGTGCTGGTTTTTATCTGATCGATTTTTAACCAAGTGTTTTGTGACCAAACAAAAATCCGCCCTATCAGTTCCTGCAGCTATGCCATCTGCATTAAAATCTAGTTTGTTAAGTTGTGTAAAATGACTTTGAAATATTATAAACTTGCAGAAACAAAGAAATACATTTGTTTCACAACAGCAAGCACCCAAATATTAAGTAGTGAATTAACTTAAAATATAGGGCATCTTCTCTGTTCCCTTTTAAATATTGAATTTGCCTTGCTTTGGTATGAAAGTCATAACCGTGGAACAAAAATCCATTCTTTTGATTCTTTACAAAGAATTATAATGTGATCCTGCCTTACTACATCTTATAAAATGGCCTGAGAATATTGTCAGAGTCAAAGAATCAGTGAAGAAACTGATCCTGTGTCCCTTATTATAGCTTTCAGGATAGAAAACGTTCTCTTATGGTTTTCCAAACTAAATGCTGCAGCTTAACATAGGAACCTATACATTTATTTGTACAAAAATTCTGTAGTGTTTATTCTAATGCCGTTTTTATTCTACTCTTTCCCATCATCTTCACTAACTTAAGCATTTTGAAATCTAAATTATTGAGACCCTTTTGAAAAGTGAAAGATGATAACTGCACTATATCAAAACTGATGATTATTGTTTTAAAATATGAAGACACGATTAAAGAAGTAAGGGGGAAAGCAATCTGAGGAACAACCAGAGCATCATCTTCAAGTAGAGAATTCTACAGGCTGTTCTCAATGAACCTCTCTCATTTGGCCTAATACTTAAACCTTGGGAACAGTTGTATTTGTAATGTTAAAGCAGTAATAATATAAAGACCATATCAAACCTTTAGGAACAATCTCATGCAATTTACTCAATAGCCATCACTGAGCTGAACCCATCACATATTGTAGGTGTCTGGACTGAGCCTTTTGAACTTGATCTAAGTTACTCCAAGTTACCTTGCACTTGACTAGATGTGACATTATGTGAACTCAATTGTCGTTATTGGGAAAATAGCTCTGATTTACCCAGATCATTTACTGATTCAGCTTTTGATCTGTGGAGGGCAACTAGTCAAAAATTAGAAACAACTGGTCAAAAGAACATGTATTTCCAAAATGGTGATTTTTGTTTGTTTGATTATGCTGTAAGGTTGTGCACATTTTCTGAAAACTGTTTTAAATCTAGTTACTCAAATTGAACTTGTACGCAAATTAGCTTCCTTTTGTGGGTAACACTTCTGGAAAGAAGCAAATGAACACACAGAAATAAAGTTTATGATCGTCTTTTATTCAGTATTCATTTATATACAATCAATTATCAAGCATATTCTTAAAACTAAAGGGAAAAGCCTCATTTTGTTTATTAAGTAAAAAGTACAGAAAATGAGCAGGACACTTTTTTGTGGTAAATAACACATCAGTTCAAAAAATTCAAATTGCATTTTACATATTAACTGTCTCTCAATTATATTACTGAGAGCTGTGGATGTACAAAATGAGTTTGCAAAGCTGGATCCTTCAGAAAACTTGTAACTTTTTCTTGCTTTTGCTGAATTGCTGAACCTACCAATAAAATTAAAGTTGAGAATTCAGTCCCCATTCTCTGCATAAAGTTATAATATTTAATTAGTGGGCTTTTATTCAGTTTGAGATGTATCTTTGCTGACGTTAGCATATGGTGAGTATTAGTCTTTGCAAAGACCAAGTTCATTTTAATGCTTCATTAGATTGAGTAGGTATCATATTTAAAATCAAAATAATATCATAGCCCATATGCATTTGTCACAGTACTTACTATGTAAATGAGAACTGAAGGCACATTAAAGTATCAGCTGTGGATTAATTGTTCAAATTTTTTCACAGTTATTCAGTATATCAGCAAAATACTCATCGGCAAATAGAAGCTCAGACTTGTAGAACTGCTGAGAAACTAGTAATTTAGTTGTTTTCACTTCAAGAGAAAAATACATTTTTAATTAAGTTCTTGGGAACTTCATATCAATCTGATGCGTAGTTGAAATGCTACAAAAAAGCTATCTGATAAATGATCAGTAAATTAATTCCAAATCTCTCCCTAGTGCTATATCTCCTGAAATCTTTGGCATTAACCTCCTTTATTGTAAGTTTTTGTGTTTAACTCAACATTTGCACTTTGATTACAGAAGATGTGCTAGATATGATTTCGCCTTAACCTAAAGTAACACAACAGTTTACACCTAGCTGCTTTCACATTGCCCTCTGTAGGATGCTGATGTGTGGAATCTGTATAGTCCATCACTTCAAGTGAACATGATGGATTTTATAAATTCAGCAGCCAGGAAGGTCATGATTAACTGGCCTGCTCATTTTGTGAATCTGGCAAATATCTGTTAATATCAATTGGATAATCTGTGTATTGAACCAAGTTTCCTTTCCAGTACACTGAAAATGGTTTTATGTACAGTTCATTGTATTGTGAAAATCAGCCAGGAAAGTAGAGAGAGGGAATTCATACACTGAACAGGGATTAGAACAATTAGGGAAGTATCTAAAAGGTAAATTATTAACAGCATCAGGTTTTTAAGAGACATTTATTTGAGCAGGCTTATGACAGTTGACTGTTACAGAGCCCTGGCAAAGGGAAAAGAGAGGGAATATATTTAAATTTAAAAAAGTGTTGCAGAAATTAAGCCTTGAGGGCAACTAAATTTATGCACCCACAAACGACCATCTTCAGTTTTGGTCTTTTCCTATTCTGTTTATTCTCAGACTAGCTGCATTTCAATTGGCTGCTCTTGTGAGTATTATCCAATGAAACAACTTTAATTCTTTATTTGTTCATAGACCCCCGAAGTCATTGTAGTCTTTGTCATGCAAGTACACCCATTGTGCTGTTAGGAAGGGAATTTCAGGATTTTGACACTGACACTGAAGGAATAGCAATATAATTCCAAGTCAGGATGGTAAGAGACTTTCATAGAATCATAGAAATGGAGGGGAACTTTGTGGGTCATGCTTGTCCCATGCATCTGCTGCCCTAATTTCAAAATTTAAATTACACAAGACTTTCTCCACTTTTAAGTAATTAATGAAGTCTGATGAAGTTGAATAGATCGAAATATGAGCACTCAGTGAGCGCTTGCCAGATATTTGCCTCTTTGATAACCTAAAATGTAAGCAATTTTTTTATTTGTTGAAATACTTGGAATTAAATAATTTTACTTCTGATTCCTTCTGTCTATCTCCATGTTCAACGCAGCTCCACCCATGTGCCTAAATCCACTAGCTCGTTAAACAATACTAATTGTACTGCTGTTAATGCTTTATATTTGTTACACTGGACATTATTATAGGCTATGTTAAGTGAGATTACTAGTTTGCAAGATTAGGGAGCAGGACGCCTGATGATTTTAGTAGAGACTGCCTAGTTGTCCTTTCACTTGGAATCCTTACAGATGGCAGGAAGAGACGTTCATCCCATCAGTGGGGTGAAATACCGGAAATTAAAGGACACTTTGGTATTTTGCATCAACCATCTCCCTCACTTATTCGTCTTCAATTATAGCGCATTAAAGGAAATGTGCTCCATAAACAAAATAACGTATATATTTTTGATCATAATTAAAGCAATGTTAAAGGATGGATTTATTTTAAGATTTTTTCTTTAATTATTGTTCTTGTCTTGTTTCACCTGCCCATCTTACTTTCCGCACCAGATTTGTTTTAAGTTTATAACTCCACAGCTCAATGTTTGTCAATGTAACAAAGATGGAGAAGCTAAACAGCTTAAAGTTCCAGCAAGCCCCAGAAAAAAACTGACAACTGAAAATATTGTACAGCTGGAAACAGCCCAAAGACCATTGCTTCAAAGTAAATGAGTAAAGTTGAATTAATCTTTGCTATCAGACTTTATGGATCTGAAAGGTTTTGGGGTCAGATTCTGTACCTGTTAGCTTTTCTGTAGGTTAAGGAACAGTAAGCCATTCAGCCCCATTTTGCTGTCATTTAGTGCTGTAATTGTTGATCTGTGTTTTAACTCATTTTATCTGCATTAGTTCTGCAACCTTTTATTACCCTTATTTTACAAAAAAGTCTATCAATCTCCATTTTGGAAATTTAATTGATACCTGCACCAGGGAGGGTTCTAAATTTCCACAATCTTTTGTATGAAGAAGTCCTTCCTGACATCATCTTTCAATGGCCTGGCTCAAGGTACTGCCTCCCTGTACAAGACTCTTACATCAAAGGAGTAGTTCCTCTCCAATAACTCCATTAATCATCTTGTATGTCTCAATTAGATCAGTCCTTTATCTTCATGGAAAATAGAAATCTGGACAATGCAACTTGTATAATTAATTATTTAGGTCCCAGTATTGTCCTGAATAATCTGTTCTGCATCCCTTCCAAGGCCACATGACCACCTCAGAAGTAGTGTCCAGAACTGCGCGCACTACTCGAGCTCTGCAGAATAGCAAAATTTCCATCCCTTTATCTTGAGAAGATTGGAATTTAAAGGCCATCACTCATCAAATAGAATGATCAGATGTCTATGGTGTAAAAGGAATCCATTTAACCTGTTGAATGTGTATTCAATTCATCTAATCTCTCTTCTTTGTCCTTTCCCTGTAACCCTGACATTTTTTTTCTCATCAGCTGCAAATCCAATTTCCTTTTGAGGCCACTGTTGAACCTGCGTCCACCATTCTGGGTATTGCATTCCAGATTCTAACCATTTGTTGCAGGAGCATTTTTCTCCTTGCCTTTTGTTCTTTTGATCACCTTGAATCTCTCCTTGGTTCTTGATCTTGCCAAGGGGAAGAATTTCTCTCTCTCTTCTGTGTGTTTGAAATCCCTCATGATTTTGAGCATCTGTCAAATCTTCTAACTTTTAAGGAGCACAACCTCTACTTCTTCAAGCTAGCCTTAGAGCTGAAGTGCCTCATCACTGGCATCATTTTCATAAATCTCTTCTGCACCCTCTCTAAAGCTTTCACATCCTTCCCAAGATGAAGAAATATCTTTAGCCAGAGTGAGAATGCAAACTCTACAATATGAAGTGACTACGGCAAATGGCATAGATGCCATTAAGGGGAAACTAGATACAAATTCCATTTCTGTGAGGCAACCATAGATGTAAGTGTTGCACCAATTTCACTTCACTAGCTGGACCTAAAAAGTACAAAAAAACACTTATCAATAGCGTCATTATGCCACAGAAATAGATCATTCTGCTTATTGAGTCCATGCTGGCTCTATAGAGCAATTCAGTCAGGTTAGTTCCTCCAGCACTATCTCGGATGCCTTGCAAGTTTCATTCACTCAAGTGACCATCCAATTTCCTTTTGAAATCATTATCTCAGCTTCCACCATGGATTTGATTGATGATCTTGTCATTTGAACTCACTCAAGCTGATAGGTCCTATTATGGTTGTCTGGTAGATTTAAAACAAAAATTCCAGGAATTTGTAAACATGGAAACACCATGTACACTGGTACCCACTCAATGGGAATTGTTGACAAGTTCATCATTCATTTTCTCTAGATGGCAATTATTCTGTCCTCGAAATCTAATGTTACTTTAATGATGAATGTATACTTGCATCCACTGGTATTTTGTCTGCATTTTTTTTTCTGTTCCCCATTTACCTTCTCTTCCTTTCCCTGAACCCTCACCCCATCTTGTATTGTCTCCTTAATCTATGATATTGCCAACGCTGTTCTAGCAGGTTTTAGGTACCTGATCCCTCTTCACAATATTTGGAATCTCAATCAATCAGTTGTCTTTGTTGCAGAAATTTTTTTTTTCCTTGTATTACTGCAAACTTTCACCCCAGGAGGGTACCTTTAAACAGACCAGCTCAGATCCTAAAAAGTGTTGCCAGACTGCATTTCAAAAAAAAAATCAAACAGCAATTAGGATTTAGGAAGAATGCTAACTTCATTGCCTTACTGGTATTTAGTGTCCTTTCCCTTTAAATAGATGACCACCTCATGTTTATTTTAACTAAATCAGCATTACAAATATTGAACAATTTGCACTGACCATGAAGTTTGAATTTTGAATCATCAGATGAAAAACTAAATGAAATTCGCATTTGTGTGCTTGTCCCTCTTTTTTTTAAATTAAACATTTGCTTTTGAATAGAGTCATGAGTTTTCTTTCATTCAAGGCAACTTGTCAGCAGTGTTAACCTTTTGCAATTGTCTACACAGTGGGGCAATACTACAGGCATTACAGCCTAATATTTATATCTCTAAATTAATTGACATGGATAATGAACTAGTTGCTGAGTGTTTTAATTTATATTATTTAAATTACAACATGGTTGTAACTTTACAAAGCTGATCTAGGTTTACAAAAGCCTTGTGAAGATTGAGAAAAATGGAAATAATTTGAAGTACACAGTTGTGAGTAGTCAAAAGTGAAAAGGCATGTTAATAGTCTGTGAATTATTAAATATAGCTTAGTGCAGTGATAATGTTACAGTATTTTGCAAAATAGTGCCTTTTCAGTACTGGTATTATTGTTTGTTTTACTACATATGAAGTCCCACCTTTAAGATCTTGCACATATACAAGGTTCTAACGTTTTAATTTGTCTAAAAATTATTTAAATTGTTGAAATCTTAATAGAATCTAATCCTCAATTTAGGATCACATTTCCATACCAAGTTGCACATAAATGGATGAATAGTTTCCAGCTCTCTCAATACTTTAAAGTCCACTCTTTTTTAGTTAAGATAATATTATTAACAGAATTGTACAACTGCATTGCCCAATGAACTGAGTGCTAACAGTAATTAAAAGCAATGGTTTCTTAATATGAAAATAATGCTTGTGCATGCATTTAGTTTTTTTTAAATGTAGCTTAATTGCAAGGAAAGGAGCAGGAGTTGTACTGTCAACAGTCTTCCTTCAGGACATTTTATTTCTTTTAGATTTATTTTGATGCACTTTCAAGTGAGGTTATGATCTAAAACGTTGTATTTATAATACTCAAGGCCCCTTTGGAGGGAAAATCTGAGGTTATGCACTTTGGTGGGAAGAATAGAGATGCAGACTACTTCCTAAATAGGGAAAAGCTTTGGAAATCTGAAGCACAAAGGGACTTGGGAGTCCTTGTTCAGGATTCTTTTAAGGTTAAAATGCAGGTTCTTCTGGCAGTTAGGAAAGCAAATGAGAATGTTAGCCTTCATTTCGAAAGGGTTAGAATACAAGAGATACATAGAGATGTACTGCTGAGGCTGTATAAGGCTCTGGTCAGACCATATTTGGGATATTGTGAGCAGTTCTGGGACCTGTATCCAAGGAAGACTGTGCTGGAGTTGGAGTACAGGTTTACAAGAATGAACCCTGGCTTGTCTGTACTCAATAGAGTTTAGAAGGATGGAGTGGGGTACTCATTGAAACTTACAGAATACTGATAGGCCTGGATAGAGTGGACACGGAGATGTTTCATCTAGTAGGAGAGACTAGAACCGAAGGCCCGGCCTCAGAGTGAAGGGATGACGCTTCCGATATGAGGAGGAATTTCTTCAGCCAGAGGGTGGTGAAACTATGGAAGTCATTGCTGCAGAAGGCTGTGGAGGCCATGTCATTGAGCGCATTTAACGACAGAGATTGATAAGTTCTTGATTGGTAAAAGGATCGAGGATAGAAGGCAAGAGAATGGGGTTGAGAAACATATCAGCCATGATCGAATGGTGAAGCAGACTCTGAGCCGAACGGCCTAATTCTGCTCCTGTACCTTAAATGTAGAAGAGATCTACTGCAAAGATAAAGAGTCTATAGTGGTCAAAAATAACCACCTAACTATTCTAATCCCATTTTCCAGCACTTGGCAAATAGCCTTGTAAAGAGAGCGACACACAGTTAATGTTTCAAACGTTCTTCTGAACTGAAAGGTATTGGAAAATTGTTTCTTTTTAGTGAACTTTTGACCGAGGCGAGGGAGGAACAAGGGGGCAGATAGAGAGGTACAGTGCAAAAGAGGAAAAGAAATGTAAAGTGGGTGTGAATTAAGATGTGAGCATCACCTTTCCTCTTTCACCACCGTATAAAAACCCCTTTGTCTTTTACACTGGGCCTCTCCACCATTTGCCCCTTTGCTCCTCCTTCACCTATGTTAAAAGTATATATTTTTTAAAAATTTCCAACACCTTTCAGTTCTGGAGGAGGAAATCTGGACGCAAAACTTCATATCTGCTTTCTCTCTACGAATGCTGCCAGTTTTTCCAGCATCCACAGAATTTTGCTTTTATTTTAAGGAAAAACTTAATCATTTGACAAATTTTTGTTCACCTGTCACTGTGTCCTTTTGAGCCTAGTGTCTAATTTTATTTCCTGAGACTTATGAAGCACATCAAACGTTTTGTTGTTTTAAAAGTATACTGTGAATACAATGTTTACTGTTTTTTCTCCATGCATTGCATGGTTAAAATAGACTGGATGGCCTTCTCTATGTTCACCTTGTGACTTTGAGCTATTTAAGGAAACTGCATTCATAACAGTCCTGTGTGATACTCCGTGCATCCATATTAGAAGAGGTAAATGCATTTCAGTGAAAAGAATATAGCGCTACAATGGCAATATGCTTTAATTAAACATTAAAACATCTCAATAATATACATTATTTTAGATAACCCAGCTTTAAGATCCCATCTATAAATTTCATGTTAAGTTGCTGTACAATAATAGGCAGTTATTAACAATTTAAATTATATTTAATAACAATTCAACACATTGAACTGTATTATATTTTGCACCTTCTCCGTTAAATAACCCATGGTTTAACTGGTACTTTTTATAATTTGTATAGTTTGAAGGAAGTTAGATTTCAGTCCAACTACAAACAATGCCGATCCTACTATTCAACACATGATAGTTGTCGGGTATTTCTTTTCTTCTGTTACTAGAAGGCTTAATGTGAAACGGTTAATTTATGTTGCCTACAGGCTTCTGTGCTTGCAATTTTGCATATTGTTGTCAAGAGGCAATTTTAGAAATATATTCTACCTGTGATAGTTGAAACTAACTCTAGTTCAAACAGTAGTAACCTAGAGAATTCATACATCTGAATGAGTGTTTAAGTCCAGGTCTGCATTTAGAACTTGTTTAATGTGAAATGGCTTTCCAATAACCTTACTATAAAACTAAATAATTAGTTGATCTGTTGAAGGCGATGATGGCCCCACTTGTATACAAAAAAACCTACATTTTCAATTTCACTGCAAAATCAGATCAGTTGGAATTGTTCATTTTTGAGTGCAAAAACTGTTGGGGGCAAAGAGATTACACACTGCCAAATCCACTACTTGGCTTCATCGCTCACTCCTTGGGAAAAATAAAGTAGCCAAACTTTGTACGTTAAATAGTACAAAAAATGTTTGGTATAAACGTTAAGTAAATGGACAGGATTTTTCTAAAACTAGCTTCAAACAAATCATTATGAGCATTGACACACATGATTTCAAACTAGGAAAGAGATGTTGCAGAGACTATCGCTACAAATAAAGATAGAGGCAAAGTACCACCTTTCCACCTTCTGTTACCTAACTGTACGCTCATTTTTCTGATGAAGGGTCTAGGCCCGAAACGTCAGCCTTTCTGCTCCTATGATGCTGCTTAGCCTGCTACGTTCATCCAGCTCTGCACCTTGTTGTCTCGGATTCTCCAGCATCTGCAGTTCCTACCATCTCTGCTCCCATTTCTTTCCCTCCTACATAAATGCATGCATTTTCTTTCCATCATAAATGTAGCAAATTGGACACACCAATCAGCGCAAGGTATCCTTTATAACTAAAGGGAAACATTCTGAATCATCGTTAGTTGTTCCAAAACCTGTAAGTTCAAATGGATCACTTTACAAATAAGGGTTTTTTTTTAAAAGGAAAGAAAAGCTGTTCCTGACCAGCTGTGATTGGTAAATGTCAATGGAAAGGAAAATTGAACGTGGAGGTCTACAATGGACAGGAACCCCATTTTAGTGGGAACAGCTAAAAGTGACGATTCACCAGCCACCCCATCCCTGCCAAACTCTAGGCCCAGTTTAATTTTTATTTCATTAACCAGTCATTCTGCCAGGATGATCTTAACAACACAATAATTTGGAATATTTTCAGACTAACGAAAAGAAAGTCTTGTGTTCACTAACATTACTTTCACAGCCTCAATCTCACAATGATTTCAATCAGGAGTGCACATATGAATTAACAGTAGAGCTATGACACAGGCAATGGAACAGCTGATTTGTGCATATAAAGCACCCACAATCACCAATGCAATAATGACAAATTTTTTTGTGATGTTGGCTGAAAGTTAACTTTTTTACAAATAAAAAGTCAACATTTAACAGTTCTAAATGAGTTTCACGTGAAATAAGCGCTTTGACACAAATCAAGATTCATCTAACAAGACAATATTAAAACTTTACAGTTTGGGCAAAATCAGCAAAATTGTAACATTTAGTTCAACTGTTTGCCTTTTGAGTTTAAAACAATAAAGAAGCTTCATGTTTTTTTCAAAAAAAAGTATGAATTAAACTTTGTCTCAATTTTACATTTATAATAACTAATAATCGCTTGTCCAGACTTTGAATTATGTGTAAAATTCAGATTGTTTTTTTAATTATACAATGAACAAAACAGAATTAAGAGTATAGCTGTAAACTGCTTTTTAAAAAAAAATTAAATTTGTGGAGAAGATATTAATATTTTCTCTACTGCCAATGATTGTAAAAATTTAGACCTCTCATAGCATCATCGAAAACAAAGTTTCTCGTTATAACATCCGTGAGATGTCTTTTAAGTTTGCTTCAGATTATTACAACTTTCTCTATTCCATTAAATAAACTATTTGTCGGATTTTATTAAAGATTAAATATTTCCCTCTTTACACAGATGCTCCCACTTCCCCCTCAGGCTGATTTGCAACAGTTATGTAAGACCTTTCCAAGGAGAGTTACTTCACTCTGCAAGTGTTTCCATTTCAGGCTAGCAAGCCAAGTCGCGCAATCTTTGCTGAAAGGAACGAATGAATGACAAAAACGATAGGTTTCGGGCATGAGTGAAGATCCAACTGCTAGACAAGAAGAACAAAATAACAAACTTGAGTTTTTAAAAGGCGAACTTACATAACAGTAAAAGTATTTTATTAAAGTCAAAGGGCAAGTCACTTGTATTTTGAAAATGAAACTTTTTAAACTGTTTATATCAATAGTTTATCTTTTCCACAATACTGAATGCAAACTGGGTGACTGCTGAACATCTGTGTTCAGTTCTGAACTCTGACGAAGAGTCATCTAGATTCAACGTTAGTTTGCTCTCAGTCCATGGATGCTGTCTGACCTGCTGTGATTTCCAGCACCTTTTTGTTTTCAGCACTTAACTCTTTCTTTCTCCACAGATGGTGCAAGACTTGTTAAGAGTCCAATAAAAACAAACTAACAGAAACAATGTCTTTACTAGTCCAGTGGAAGCATGATTCTTTAACATCTCAACAAAATGTGACAATAATGTAAAACTATGCCCCTGACCAAAGCAGTATTGGTGAGTAAGACTCAACAAAATTTGATGTTTGAAAAATATCTTATGCTGATGCCAAATAACCATGCAATAGAATATAAATGGCTAACTTCATATTCGTACTGTTGCTATCAGTGAAAGCATACATAATATGAGCTGGTGCTTACATCAACAACTTAAAATACCTCATGGTCCCTCGTGGGAGCTTTCTCAAATGAAATCTGATACTGAGTTTCATATAGGGATATCAAAGATAGGCAACCGAAAGCTTGGTCAAAGACTTAGGTTTTAAGGAGTGGCGAGGGGCCGGAGAAGAGAGAGAGGGAGAGAGACAAAGAGATATAGAGAAAAGTTCTAAAGTTTAGAGTCCAGGCAGGTGAGGATATAATTGCCAATGGTGGAATAAAAGAAACCAGTTCCATGTACAAGGCCAGATTTGGAAGCACGTCTAATTCTCAAATTTGAAGGGCTGGGAGAGTTAGTGATGGAGAGTATCGAGGCTATGGAGGGATTTGAAAACAAAAAGAATTTTAAAATTGAGACATTGCTGGACAGGGAGCTAATATAGGTCCACAGGCACAAGGGTGAACAGACTTGGTGTAAGTTAGGCAGCAAGGCTTTGAATGAATTGAAGTTTACAGAGAATGGAAGGTGAGAATCTGGCCAAGAGGAACCAACAAATTGAGGTGTTTTGTGTATTATAACTTTGTATTCTGCAGTATGTTTTGAATTTATTTTCTAGTTCTACTTCACTTCCTCCAGCATGCCCAGTTACAGATTAGCCATTACCAGATATAGCCAAAACTTGAGTGAAGATGGTGGTGGTAATTAGTCTCTTAACCAAGATGTTTATTCAACTTTAAAAATCAATATGGAGCTCCTAACTGTATGTATTGTAAGCTTTCAGTCTGAAGATTGTAATATATCATCCTCTACCATATTAACTCGATGGCCTTTTGTGTAGGTTTCCTGTGGTAAGAAGTGTCTTAGTTTCGGTTAAACTTCTCTCATTTATTGTGGCCTATAATTCATGTAGAAGTAGAGGTGCATATTATTGAATCTGAGAAAAACAAGGAACATCCTGAGAATTCTATTAAAATTTAAGGGTGGTTATGTCATGTAATGAAGCACCTTAGAGTATTGTCTAGCGTTTTTGATATTCACCACATATATCTAATCCAGGTGGGAATAGTGTGGCTGCAGTGAGAGAAAGCCTGGATCTTTTCAGTTAGTCATTCTGCAGTGCTTCAACTTCATTATTAATTATCAATTGACAGACAAATAAGGATACTTACAATTTCCCCATCTCTTCCGCCAAAGTCTAGAAAGAGCATTCTCACCCCATCATCAGAGGAGTTTCTCAATTTCTCGAAGGGATATTGCCAAATCAGCTTTGGCATACTTCCTTCTTGTCCATCTTTCAAGATAGAAAATCCGTTTGTATAATGAACGGTCAGAAGACACTGCTGGGTCCTGTATGTACACGCTACAAATAACAAGAATAACATAATCAATAGAACATTACATCTAGGAAAAGATCCTATGATAGTACACAATCTCATTGACTTGTATAGATGGTTCTTTGGAACATGAGTAATCATGGAATTGTGCCATCAGACAGAACAAGTCACCATCACCAACAACTTAGAGAAATGCCCCAAGGTGCTTAATACAATCTACAAGATGCACTTGTTGGAAATTAGGGTTCCCTTTAAAACTGAATTATTTTTAGTGTTCCATATTTAGTATTTCCTGTGTAGCATGCAACCTCATTTAGCTATGTTACAGTGATAACCAGTCTTCTAGAAATATATAATAAATCCCTAAATTGAAAACAAAAGATCACAAGAATCAAAACCAAAAGAACTGCGGATGCTGTAAATCAGAACCAAAAACAAAGTTGCTGGAAAAGCTCAGCAGGTCTGGCAGCACCTGTGGAGGAGAAAACAGAGTTAACGTTTCGGGTCCGGTGACCCTTCACAAGATCACAAGAATCACCGAAGTGATGATGTTCTATTGAATGGACATCAAAGATTTGTTGGGCTTTATCATCAATGCAGTATTTGGGAGAACAGGATGTTATGGTCCGAGAAGAAATGGCAAATAACCTTCAAATGAAAACAGGCAAAGAGTCATCTCGACATCATGAGTAACTGCCTGTAGTCATTGGCCAGAATGGTTCAGCCAGGTCATTGACACAACATAGATTGCTAAGCCCCCAGAATATCGTACATCTACAAGGGGAGTTTGGAAGAGAGAAGGAAAGTCCAGGGACAAGACCAGTAGTTCATGGGAAAAACAAAGACTACAAATTCCGACCACTCCAAACCAAAGTGTCCACCAACTCTGCTTCTCTGTTCTACAGAAATTTTTCCCAATTCCAAAGCCGTTAACACATATCTATACTGCTGCTTCTTAAACTCCATAAATAATCTGAAAATTGACTATATTAGATAACTGTGATCATGACCCTCCCCCAATCTAATACTGTAGTAACTCACCATGACTCCTCTTTCAGCACTTTACTAATTCACAATCTATACCACCTAGGAGGACAATAGCAGCAAATGCTTGGAAACACCTGTTAGTTGACCTCCAGGTCAAAATCCTGGAATTCCCTCCTTAACAGCATTGTGGATTTACCCACAGCCTATGGACTTCAGCACTCAAGAAGGAGCTCACAATTGCCAACTCCAGGGCACTTAATGAAGGGCAATAAATGCTGGCCTTGCCAATAATGCCAGCATTGCATCCCATTATTTAATAAAGAAAGTTTATTTTTTCCTAAATAGTTACCAAGCCAAGCAGAGGTGATTCACTGCATGGCCAGGAATGGATTTGGACAAGAGAGAGAGATTGAAAACCTGGATTAGTGTATGGAGGAAATTCTGGGGTCTATGCAACTGAGGGTGATGTGGGAAGTAAGGGATTAATAGTGTTCAGTGTGTTAAATTGGTTTTCTTCATTCTAGAGAGAAGCAAAGCATAGTTAAAGAAAGAAATAGAAAATGTGATCAAATAGGCAAGGACACTGTCTCCTGAAGGTGTAGTAACTGAAACTTGCAAGAGACTTCTTTGTTGAAGACTCTTCCCTGCATATACTTGAATAAACTTGAACATTCTTTACATCTCTGCCTCCAGAGTGTTCTTGAAATCCCCACAATGAAGGGGTAGCCACCTGTAGTGGGAATAAGGAAGTAAGGAAGTAGGAGACCAGAGAAGGAGGAGGAGAATCTGGAAATTGTTGCACAAGGATTGGTGAGCTTGTAGGGTTGAACATATGAACAAGGAGTGGAAGTAGGCCGGTCAACACCTTGGCCTGCTCAACATTTAATAAAAGCGTCTGATCTCTGTCTTTCAAATTCCACATTTTCATCTACCCCATTAACCTTTGATTCTGTTGTCTAACAAGAAACCGTTGACCTCTGCCTTAAGAATAATGACCTACCCTCACCACCCTTCTGTGGAATGGTTCCAAAGTCACACAACTGAGAGAAATAAATTTTCTCTAACTCTGTCTTACAAGATCAATCCTTAATTTGAAACAGTGCCCCCACATTTTGGACTCACCCAGAAAAGGAAATATCATTTCCACTTCCATCTTGTCAAGATTGCTCAGGATAATACGTACCTCAATGAAGTCACACTTCACTATTCGAAATACCAATGAAAACAAGATCACAGTGTCCTGCCTTTCCTCCTTAGACAACCCACTTATTCGAAGTGTATATCTAGTAAATCTCCTCTGAACTGCCTCCAATGCGTTTACATTCTGCTTAAATAAGGAGACCAGAACTGCACACAGTATTCGAGATGTGGCCTGATCAGTGCCTTGTACAAATGATGGCAGAGAGACAGAAAGAAAGACTTTGTGTGTCTGAGGTTGTTGACTTGCTCGCCGAGCTGCTTGTTTTTGCTCAGACGTTTCATCACCATGCTAGGTGACATCATCAGTGGAGCCTCCGATGAAACGATGTTATCCTACTCCGCTTGGAATTTATACTGTCCAGTACGTTATGGTGAGTACTGTCATTTCAGGTTTTGATCTGTATGGGTTTGTATATGGGGTCCAATTCGATATGTTTGCTGATTGAAGTATGGGTGGAGAACCAAGACAAACATAGACATGCACGGGAATTCCGAGAGGCATGGTTCTCCACCCATACTTCAATCAGCAAACATATCAAATTGGACTCCATATACAAACCCATACAGATCAAAACCTGAAATGACAGTACTCACCACAACGGACCGGACAGTATAAATTCCAAGCGGAGTAGAATAACATCGTTTCATCGGAGGCTCCACTGATGATGTCACCTAGCATGGTGATGAAACGTCTGAGCAAAAACAAGCAGCTCGGCGAGCAAGTCAACAACCCGAGCTACAGATCTTTGCCAAAACTTTAAACTTTGTGTGTCTCCCTAAGTAGCTGTTGAGGACGTCACACCCTTGGCTGTGATGCTGTTCCAATCAAATGGTCTTTTGAGCAAACCGCATCCCAACAGCGATATAATAAACATAGGAGGGGTGGGGGGACATAAAATTGGGAGAGTTCTTTGACCTCAATTTTAAAAATGCAGGTCTTAATAACGGTTTGCTAACTCTGACACTCATCCACAACAGAAATGCAAGGGAACATTCAATTATACATTCCTCACTTTGTACAATAGTTAACACCAGAGAACTAACTGACAGTTTTATTTTCCAGGAGCAATTGTCATACTTGTTAATCTACTAACAGTGAATGACAATTAAATATCACTGCATACTTCTGGAGCAATCTGTGTATGCTTTCTTTTCATACAACAAACCCCAACATGCTAAATTACAGATCAATTAAAGCACAGGGCAAAGATTCACAAAAACACTAAATGTGTCACTTAATCAAACTTGTCACTGCTACTCTATTTAGCTCATCCAGCATAGTTCATACTGAAATATCAAGTTGCTAATTCACTCCATCTTACTGAAAAGTAGTGAGGTGAACCAAATACTAGCCATTCAACCTTATCATCTTTACAAATAAAATTTAATGTTTATGAATATTAACTGTACCTGCATCTTATTTCCCACCTCATGTGAAGTAGTTCTAATTTTACTGCTTTATTCTTTTCACTAAAACTCTCTTCAGCTGACATTATCAGCCCCTGCACTGGCCTAAGCTCTACATTCAAGCCATCACTAGTATCATTGTACATTCTTGACGGTTAGTTATAGAAGGTTTTGTTTAATATTGCATTATACTCCAGCTGCTGGCCCCCAACTTCATAGCTGTGCAGTGCAACAATGCAGCTCGGAGACTGAATCATACAACTGAAGATATCCCAAACTTTTTGTGTACCTACACAGTCCTATGCCTTGTGCGGTTAATGTTTAATCTTAGGACCAATCAGTCAGGATTGTGCTCCCTCTCAACATTAAGTTTCAGAAGGTCCTGGAAAGTTCAACATACGTAGAACAGCTTGGAAACAGGTCATTCAGCCCAATTGGTCTATACTGGATTTTGTGCACCACACAAGACTTATTTCACCCCTTTCATCTCACCTGATCAACAAGTCATAGAGTCATAGAGCTCTTTTTTTTTAATCTCCCTTGTGTTTATCTAGTGTCCTCTTCGCTGTATCTACTCCTTTTAGTACTGATTTCTCTGTAAAGAAGTTTCTGCTGCATTCCTGTTTGGATGTATTAATGTATTTATGGCTCCTAATTCTGCTATAGAGGTCTTGTGGCATAGCGAGTAGTGTCCCTGTCTCTGAGCCAGAATTCCATATTCAAGTCCCACATCAGGTACTTTATGGTTATGGAAGGTACTTAGTGTGGCCTAACAAGATGATTATCACTTGCAAACCTTTCCAATATGCCTGATGGTAAGAACCAGAGTGTGTCCTGGTTAGTCTTACCACAGATAGCAATGGCAAACCACTACAGTACTTGCTAACCATGACCATTGACCAATATAAATCAATAGGAGTGTGTTGCCAGGTGAAGAGAAATAGAGTGTTCAAATATTCTTCATTGGTGAAAACATCCTTTTTATATCTACACTATTAAACCTTTCCTTAATTTTAATTTTAAAGACTTCAGGTCCATCAGCTTTCTGTTTATTTATAGAGAAAAGAGCCACAACTTGTTCAGATTTTCCCTCATAACTATAACCCCTCAGTTCTGGTATTCTCCTATTTTGTACCTTTCTCAGAGCCTCAATAATGTCCTTTTTGTAAAATATAGCCTTCCATTGAACTGCAAGCAACCCACTGCATAGAATAATGTCTAACAGGGGTGAGACAAGCTGCTGGAAAAGCTTTCACGAATCCTACTGCTTTGATGTGACGGAGTGTAGTATTTGTTGGCCTGAAGCCCAAACATATTTGCATTGACAAGGATATGAATTTGCCTTGCAGTGGCGCATGTTTTTCAGTGTTGACTGCAGACTAATTTAATTGATCTTCAGTTGTTACTGCGGCACCTGAATGGGATCCTTTTATTGGTTAACAATAAATTTGTCCATTTTCTCAGGTTGATTAAATGAGTTAATTTAGCTTTTTTAGCTGTTTCAGAAAAGCTCTTGGGAGAATCATTGGGATAATCCTTCTCCCTCTTTATTAATAGAGTTTCATTTTTTTAAATGGGTGGATTTTGTAATCATTAATGCAAGAGATATTTGTGCTTAAGAAAGAGTTCTGTTTTAATCTTTTTGCACCTGGTATCTCCCTTTCCCAGATTTTGCAGTTCAAGTATCTCCCTGATCTTTTCCAGCCGTTAAGCTTAACCCCTAGTCTCGGATCATGCTCTACTGAACCATTTTATATATTCACAACACCAACATTGTCTAGCCTTGTGGCCGCTCTCTGAGTCAGATTGTTAGACTAGAGTCATACTTAATAATTTATCACAGAATCAGAGAAATGTTATTGCACAGGTGGAGCTCATTCAGCCTGGGTAGTCTGCACCTGCTCTCTGAAAGAACTTTATGCTCTGTGTCATCATGGGCAGTTTGTCTTTCTATAAACTTATGGTGTTCCTTATTAATTACAAAAGGGGTTATCACATTCCCCTCATCACGGCCAGACCACTGAGTTGTGGCAAACATAAACTTGCAGCATAGAAGCAGGGGTCATTGGCCCAACTGGTCGTCCATGTTGATGTTTATACCTCCTCTCACCCATTTCCACCTCGCTCGACCAGCTTATAGTTTGGTCATGTGTTTATCCAGCTTTCCTTTAATTGTATCTGCGCTATTTGCCTCAACCCTGTTGTAGTGAGTTTCACATTCTCTGGTCAGAAATCACATGTCACCAGGTTATAGTCCAAACACAAGCTTTCGGAGCCTCAGTTACTGACACCTGAAGAAGGACTGAGGCTCTGAAAGCTTGTGTTTTCAAATAAACCTGTTGGACTACAACCTGTTGTCGTGTGATTTCTGACCTTGTCCACCCCAGTCCAACACCAGCACTTCCATATCATCGCTATTACCTGGGTATAGAATCACATCTATTTTCCATTAAGCACAACAGTAATGGGTCAAGGTCTCAGGCAGACATGCACCAGACAAAGACCAGGAAATCAGGAGCTCTACTGCCATGTAGTAAATGTTTATTTTCTTTCCTGCATCATTGTGAATTTGAATGTGCAATTTTCACCCCATTATAAGGTAGTTTGAGAAAGAGCGAAAATTGGTGCATTGCCCATATTGGGCTGCTGTAAAGGGGATCTCTTTAACCTTTATCAACATCTGTGGGAGTCCCTTCAGAAATGGGGTACAGAAAGGAAGCTAATTGATCAAAAAGTACAATTCCTCCATTCCATTGTTAATTTCCTTTGTGCCTGACCTAGGAAAGTCATAAAAGATTATTTTCTAAAAGTAAACATGTTGAGAACTTCAGTACAGATGTCACACATCAGAAAGTTTCTTCCCACCATAACAACATGACAGATACTCACTGGTTGTGACTTCCTTAGTTAGCTCGGCTGCGTTGTGGCAGCCTTGTACAATTTGCCTGGTCCAGTTGGACAGACTGGAGTTGGTCTCGACACGGAAGAGGTGAGTCTCGATGCCTTGGCGTGTTCCAGTGCGAGTGGCAAAAGACAGTTCCACACCTGGTTGTGGTGAATCCCTGCCCACACCAGAATGAACCAATCTACAAAACAGAACACACACACACACACACACACACACACACATTCGGTAAACTCAAAATAGAGAAAAAATTCTTGAAATAATCGAAGTCCACAAGTGTGTTCACAGAAAATCTTTCAAATGATTGGGAACACAAACAGGCATTCTGGCCTTTCAACTTGTTCTTCTGAGCCAGATGAGAGAGGTCACAGGTTTGGCAGGTTTTGTTTTAAATGTGTGCACTAGATCTGGCAGTCACTTACTGGACCAATATTTATTACCCATCCTAACTGCCCTCAAGGTGGTAACAGTGAGCTGCCTACGTGAACTCCTGCAGGGGTATAGGTAGACCCGCAGTTCTGTTAGGCGGAGAGTTCAGGGCCTCCCTTCACATTCATGCTATATAAATACAAGGACAAGAACTTTGAAATGGAGGCAGCACCAGACCATGCGTCAATACAGTTCAGCAGAGTGGGTGCTGGGTGAAGGGGGTTTGTTGGGAGTTAGTGTATGCCAGTAGAGTGTTGATTGAGAACCAGTTTATGGAGAGTGAATGATTGGTGGCTGTCCAAGACAACATTCACGTTGGAATGCTGAACAGTGAAGGTAACAAAGAATAGATGAGGGTCTCAATTACAGATGGGCTTGAGAGAAGGGAGAAGATGGCAATGTTACTGAGTTTAGTACTACTACCTTAATCCGGAATCAGAATTCATTCAAGATTTCTGGGTGTTCTAATCAAGCTTCAGTGATCTGCTATGCAGATTATATGGATCCTTGTAAACGTTCTGAATAATAAACAATTGAATAGGAGCTGATTAATGAATCCAGCGAATGAGCTTACGAACTATTTTCACTGATCATCTTCACCATTGGAAATGAATGAATTACATTTTAACAGAATTTATATGAAATGCAAACAATGAGTCTATTATTTCCAGATATTTATCCAAACATTCTTTAGTTCAACATATTATAACTGGCAGTTGCGAAGTTCATGACATTCAAAGACTCAGGATTGGCTTTTTTAAAGTCTAGTTTATGAAAACACGAGAACCTCACAGAGTGGAGAAGTTAGTGGTTCATTCCCGATTGATCTCACTTGGCATATTCACATGACCATATCCAATAGCATCCCACATATTAATAAAATTCCAACATTTAAATGCACCAACCCAGCAATTATGTGACTCATCATTGGAGCTGTTAGTGTAACATGGAATGTTACCAAAGCCATGGTACAAAGACGTTAATTTCATAGTCAGTTAGATTCATGTTTAGAAGCTAAACTCACTTGCACTCACTGTCACTTTGACCCATTACGTATCTTATGGGAACAAGTGAATTTTTAAACCATTTCCATACCTCAGTTCTTGGCAATTTGTTTATGGTTCTAAAAAACAGAAGGGCAATGTCATAATAGCGCTGACAGTTGTTTACTTCCTAAGATCTCTCATTAATTTGCTCCCATTTCCCATCTTCTTCTACCTATCAGGAGGTTGAGCTGACAGTGTCTTGCCAGAACCCTCTCAAAGGCCATCTACTCATTGAGCTGTGTCTCAGTGCGTTGAAATCTCATCTCTGAGTCAGAAGATTATAGTTTCAAATCCTACTCCAGGCTTGAACACAAAAATCTAGAGGAGTCAGCTGCAATGTTGGGGTTGACTTTCAGACAAGACAGTAAACTAAGGAACAAAAACAAAGTTGCTGGAGAAGCTCAGCAGGTCTGGCAGCATCTGTGAAGGAACAAAACAGAGTTAACCAGTGACCTTTCCCAGAACTGAGGCCTATTTGTGATTTTGAGACTCCTTGGCAGGTGAATTCCCCCTGGTGTACTGGAGTTAATATTTCAGAGAGATTATCTGGCTATTGTGATATTGCTGTTTGTGGGATGTTGCTGTGCACAATTTGGTTGCTGTCTTTTCCATATATGAAATGTAATTGTTGGTCTGAAACACTTGATAAAATAATTTGGCACAACATCAGGTAGTGAAACATCCTATAAAAATGCTTCATTTTTGTTTCTAAATGTTGTATGAGCCTAGCCCAATTCTGTAAGTGTACACGTGTCTCCTGAATTTGCACTCTGATTTTTTCGATGGATTTCTCCCAAGGCTTTTGGTTCCCATTTCATCCTATTATTCCACAGACATGATTTCAAAAAATATGATCTTAAGGTTATTTTTAATAACTCAGGTTGTTTTTATTTTCTTGCTTCCTTGCCCATTTTTCCTGTGCCTATGCTGTGTTCTTGATTATTTCTCAGGTTTTGATTTACGGTCTCTGTTTCACTCATAGTTAAGTCGAACATCTCCTGTGCCACTTGATGAGAATCAAGCTTCCTTTCCTCCTGGTCCCTTGATCTATAAGCAACAGCACAGGGAACTACATAGAAATTACAGAACAGAAACAGGTCATTAGCACCAATGGGCCATGCCACTGCCACTCAAGCCTTCTTCTACCCCACTTCATCTCACCTCCTCTAGATATCCTTCTATTTATAGTCATAGAGTTGTACTGCACAGAAACAGACCCTTCGGTCCAACTTGTCCATGCCAACTAGATATTCTAAATTAATCTAGTCCCATTTGCCAGCAATTGGCCCTTATCCCTCTAAACCCTTCCAATTCATATACCCATCCAGATACATTTTAAATGTTGTAATTGTATCAACTTCCACCACTTCCTCTGGCAGTTCATTCCATACACACCACCCTCTGTGTGAAAAAGTTGCCCTTAGGCCCCTTTTAAATCATTCGCCTCTCACCTTAAACCTACCTCCTCTAGTTTTGGACTCCCTACACTGGGGGAAAGACCTCAACAACAATTACTCTATCCATGCCTCTCATGATTTTATAAACCTCTGTAAGATCAACCTTCAGCCTCCAACACACTAGGGAAAATAGCCCCAGCCTATTCAGTCTCTCCCTATAGTTCAAACCCTCCAACCCTGGCAACATCCTTGTAAATCTTTTCTGACATCTTTTAAGTTTAACATCTTTCCCGCAGCAGGGAGACAGGACTTGAACACAGTATTCCAAAAGTGGCCTGACCAATGTTTCTCTCACTTTTCCTCAAGTACTTGTGTTTCTTATCTTAAAATGCATCTTTATTGTTCACTTCAAGTATTCCTTTTGGTAGCAAGTCCCACAGTCGCAGACTCAGTTAAAGCATCTTTATCCAATTGGATTTAATTGTGGCTATCTGATGAAAATTAATCTTCAGATTCTTCTTAAAGCTCATCTGAAATTCTCCGGTTGCTTTTGTTTTTATTCTACAAGGAAAGTCTAAAGTGCTGAAACCCCTACCTTTGACTATACCCCACACAGAGTAGGCAAATTCAGAAGGAAGCTGAGGTTGGAGGTTGGGGTAGGGAAAGCCCATAGCAGTTTGAAATATTTACTCTGTAGTTTTACAGTCTGGACAAATAAGAACAGGACCTATAATTCCACTTAAGACACTTAAACCTGAGGTGAGCATTTAAAGCTCTGGGGTCTTCGTTTTGAATTGCATTGTTCAATAACCTTTTCTGTATCTAAGAATAAGGAGATGAAAATGCAACAAGTAACAAAGACGCAAACAAACTAAGATTGCTGCATACAGACTCCAGGTAAAGAAACCAGACATTCTTAAAGCTATTTCCTATGATTCAGAGGAAGGGGTTTTATGATACTAATAAGCTAGCGTCAGAACAACAATGCTAGATTGTGGAGATTGGGTTCGTGCTAGGGTCAAGGGAGAAAAATCACCTGGCAATGATCAACCTTCCATTCATTTATCTCAGGAAACATTTCAAAGCTTCACAAAAGGCCACTGCCATGGCACAGTGAACTGGACTTTCCACAAGGAGGCTAATAATTTATTCCTTCCTTAGTTCTGACCACCCCTCCCCCTTCATAATGATACAAATAAATAACTGGTCCTTTTCCAGCGGTAATTCCATCATTCCGTTATGGAATCCAGTGACTTGAAATCAAAGATTGTAAATAATTCACAGCATATTTGTTTTTTCCAAAAATAAATCCTCTCTGTCCCTTCTTGAAGCTATTGGGTTGATTATACTCAACTGCCCCTTTTCTTAGGCAATCCCTCTGGATCAATTCTGGGGCAGCACAGTGGCTCATGGCTAGCTATGCTGCTTCACCACGCCTGGAGACCCAGGTTCAATTCCAACCTCAGGTGACTGTCTATGTGGAGTTTGCTCATTCCCCCTGTATCTGCATGGGTTTCCTCTGGGTTCTCCGGTTTCCTTCTATAGTCAAAAGATGTGCAGATTAGGTGGATTGGTCATGCTAAATTGCCCATTGTGTTCAGTGATGTGCAGGCTAAGTGGGTTAGCCGTGGGAAATGCGGGCCTACAGGGATAGGGTGTAGGATCTGGGTGGGATGCTCTTCAGAGGGTTGTTGCGGATTTGATGGGCTGAATGGTCTCTTTCTGCACTGTAGGGATTCTATGATTCTATGAACAATGATTTAATTTGAGGGAATCTGAAGTGCAAAACAGATACCAGCATTAACTGCACTCCAAAGATTCCAAAAATGGGATGATTTGCAGGTTTGGGACAAGTATACACCGCCTGTAAAAGGAAGCAGCAGCAGTACTCCAGCCCTGGCATTAAGAAACAGGACTTGAACCCATAACCTTCAGAGGTCAGGGTGCTACCCCCACTGTGCTACCCCCACTGAGCCACAGCTCACACCCAGGGTTACAAATGCAGGGGTATTTCCATTCAGTCACAGAAAACTAGTCCAACAATGGATGTCTGCTTTTAGTTGCCAAAAGCTTGTTATGCCTTAAATTTATGAGTGGGTCTAGTGATGCATTGGTAGCGAATCTACCTCTGAGTCAGGAGACTCGGGTTCAAGTCTCACCTTGCTCTATAACTTGTCCAAACAGGTTGATTACGAAAACATTTTAAGCCTTAAATTTCTGATGTGGGCTGAACTATGTCTCATCATTTATGTACCTGACCACAAGATGGCACATCCACCTGCTTTAAATGTTAACCCATAAATGAATCAAGGCAGCTACTAGTGCACCAATTCGCAACAATGAGAAGCACCTTTAACATCATAAAAACACTTTTGCAGAGCTGTAATCTAAAGAAGAAAATCTCTCCAATCCAAAGGAGGGAGATTTTAGGACAACAACTTGATACTGAAAGGGGTTGAAGAAACAGTCTAAAGAAAGGAAAGTGAAGAAGTTTAGAGAGGAATTCCAGAGCCAGAGCCTAGGCAGCTACCAGAATAGACAGCAAGTGATGGTTTGAAGGGATGAAGGGCAAGAGGCCAGAATCGTAAGACTTAGAGGGGCGCTGCAGTGCCTAGAGAGGTGATGGTGTTAACGGGAGGTGTGGCCATGGAGAAATTTAAACAAGAGAATTGGAATTTTCAAATTTGACACTTTGGTATATCACCCTAGAGGTACATTGTAGCCGGGTTGTTCTGATAACTAACTGGAGACTATCTGAGTAATTCAGGACAAGGCAATCTCATTTCAGCACTAATTTACATTGATCAAATTGATGAGGCCGGGATAACATGCACAAGATGAATTCACTGGAGTTTTTCATATCAGTGATGAATTACAGGATACAATGTAAATTTCAAATTCACTTTGATCCAGGATTAAGTTCCCCCTCTATACCCTATACTCACTCCACACCTTCTCTACTGGGGATGCAAACGTTCAACAATTATCCAAATCTGCAGCCTTTATACCGAGAGAAATACAATACAAAGGACGAAGTAGTAATGTTTCAGATGTACAAAGCCTTCATTAGACCACACCTGGGGTACTGTAAGCATTTCTCAGTACAACATCTTAGGAAGAATTTGCAGGCCTTGGAAGGAGTACAGTATAAATTTACCAGAATGATGGACTTTAAATTTAAATTACAAAAAGAGGGATAGCACAAATGAAGGTTGTCGTCCCTGGAATTTAGAAGTTTAAGGAATAATTTGAATTGAGTTTTCAATGTTATGGAGAACTGATTATTTTGCCCTAATTGTTCATATCCACTAGTTAGGGAGTCTAGGATACACAAGCTAAAAATTAGAGCTAATCCTTACAGGAAACATTTCTTTAGACAAAGGGTGGTAGAAATTTGAAACTCCCTTTCACAATTCATGCTGGACCAGTTGTTAATTTTAAATAGGAGATTTATTTTGTTAGCCAATTATGTTAAGGATATGTAGTAAATGCAAGTATGTGGACTTAAGCCACAGATCAACTGTGATCTCATTGAATGGCACAACATGCTCAAGGGGCTGAATGGCCTCAAGTTCCTATGTTCCTTTGTTCAAAATAAGATAGTTAATCATATACAGTGTGCAGTGAAGGTGGAAATGATTAGATCTAAAGCATATAAGAGAAGAAATACTTGTCAAAATCCCAGCAGTCCCAGTTTAATTAAACTTGCGTTGATACTTTTAAATTCAATCTTGGGTTACATGATTGCTGGCAAAGCCAGCATTTATTACCTTTCTAATTAACCCCCAGGAAAGTGGTCATGAGTCACTGCTGTCCATGTGGTACAAATATATTCCCTGTGCTGTTAGGAAGTGAGTTTCAGGACTTTGGCCCAGTGACAGTGCAGGATCAGGATGATGTGTGGCTTGGAGAGAAACTTCCAATGGTTCAGCTACCCTTGTCCTTCTAGGTGGTAGAGGTTGAGGGTTTGGAGACTTGGTGAGTTACTGCAGTGTACCTTGCAGATGGTAGATGCTGCTACCATTGTGCTTTGGATGTGGAAGAACTGAATGTTGAAGGTGGTGGACAGGGTGCCTATTAAACAGGCTGCTTTCTCTGATGGTGTTAAGCTTTTTGAGTGCCTTGTAAATAGTGGATAGGTTCTGGGAAGTCACGAGGTCAGTTACTAGCCATAGATTTCCCAGCCTCTAACCTGACCTTGTACCCACTGTATATACATGGCTGATGAACTAAAAAAGTTCTTTCAGTGAAAAGAAAATCAAGTTTCTGTTGGTAAATTGAAGAAAGTTTCTATTATGAAAAAGGAAGTTTGTCCCCTCTCCTTACCTGGTAGCAAGCAATGGGCAAGTGTGAGCAGGACTGGACCAGGATTCCTTCATGCGAGGCATGCTGGGATAAATCACCATGTCCTTTTCAGTCAGCACTACCAGAACAGGCTTCCATTGTCTCTTTTCATTCTCTCCTATTGTCTGGATCAAGAGAGAAATGGACAGCATTAAGGAGTTATCAATCTCATCTCCACTCAAATAACAAACAACTGTATTTATATAGCTTCTTAAAAGCCTTTTACTACCTCAAACACATTAAACAGCAATTTTATAATGAATTAGATAAGCGGTTTTTGCAATGTTGATGGAGAGATAAGCACAGACACAAAGTAGAACACCCTAGGCCCTTCTGTGAATTAGTAGCAGTGGGATCTTTGTATCCACCTGAGAGGAGAGACAAGCTCTCATTTTAACATCTCATCTGAAAGACAGCACTGTCAGCAGTGTGTATAACCTCCTCAGTACTGTACTTCAGACAGTTAGTGCAAAACACTCCAAACTGCCCTTATATTAAATTTTAGTTTAATTAGGGACCACCCTGTAAAAAATGAATTCAGCTTTCAATTTTCTTCCAATTTATAAGTTAGTGAGTCTAGCTAGACAGAAATAAATCTGTATCTATCAGCTATCATCAGTTCACATCGATTTCCATCCAACATGCCATCCTTTGAGCGGAATACCCTGAATGCTCTCAAATACTTGCACACAAGCACAAGAAAAGGTGCAGAAGTCACCTGTTCACATCATGCAGGCAGTCCCTGGGCTATTAAGGGGTTCCTTTCCTAAGTACATTCGTACCTCAATTTGTATGCAAGTTGGATCGCAATGCAGGACAATATAAAATAGCCCTTTGTAAGTACAAGCAAACATTTGCCTGTTGTAACCTTAAAATTAATATTAATATGGGATCTTGTTTTTAAGTACGAGCATTCATTCATAAGTTGGGCGTTTGTAGATCAGGTCCTGTATTCCTTTCTCACCTGCAGTTACTTACAAAGGTGGAGCAGAGTTGGTATCCAGGAAATTTCAGGATATCATTTAGACCTGCAGCAGAACTGGAAAAGCTGCCTTTTCAGTATGGCCTAAATGCCAAAGGCTACAGAAAATGTAGATGTCAATCACTTTGGTTGGAAATGCCAGGGCTACCAGCCAAGCATTTTTTAAAAATCATAGAATCCCTACAGCATGGAAGCAAGCCATTCGGTCCATCGAATCCACACTGAACCTCTGAAGAGCATCCCACCCAGACTCACCCCCTACCCTATCCTTGCATTTCCCACTATGGGCAATTTAGCATAGCCTCCTAACCTGCACATTTTTGGACAGTGGGAGGAAACCGAAGCACACGGAGGAAACCCACGCAGACACAGGGAGAACATGCAATCTCCAGATAGTCGCCCAAGGCTGGAGTGAACCTGGGTCCCTGGTGCTGTGAGGCATTACTGCTAACCACTGAGCCACCATGCCAAGTTTGGCATAGCTGGAAAAGCCGGTATTGGTTGCTCATTCTCAACTGTGCTTAAAGTAAGAGTCTTGCTCAGCTATTTCAGAGGGCAATTAACTGTTAAGCACATTATTGTTGGTCTGGAACCACATGTAGGCCAGACCTGGTAAGGATGGCAGATTTCCTTCCCAGGGCACTGGTGAACAAGAAGGGTTTTCACTAAAATCAGTTATCATGGCCTCCGTTACTGAGACTGGCTTTGTATTCCAGATTTATTACTTGAATTTAAATTCTGTGAGCTCCCATGGACCTACAGCCCCAGATTATTAGCCTGGGTGTCTTGATCACCGGTCTAATGACATTGCCATCACCATCTTGACCTTGATTACTCAGTTAGTTCAACAGATTTGCAGGTATCTGAAGCATAACATCACTAGTCTGGTGACAACATTAAAATCAAAGGCCTACCTCTTCACATACTCATTCTATACTTAATAAAAAAAATCACAGAGCAAGGAGTCATAACAGGGAACCACTCCTCCAAGTCTTGAATCAAAGAAACCTCAGAGTAAGGAGCCGCCAGTACTTCAGAGCTCATCGTGAGATGGACTGATCCAGGCTCCATTGAATTAAAGGGCCACAGTTCAGAAAACATGGCTTGCAGTTAATATAATTGCAGGCAGACACTCGAGACAAATTGGGGGAAAAAAAATGAAGCTTAAAATAAACAGCTTAAAAAAATTATCCTGGAAATTGCAAGCTTCTATTCCAAGATCAGACTCTGGCTTGACAGGAAGTGCAATTGAAGTTATTGGCATTTCGGATTTGTCTCATCCCCAGTTTTGTAGCAACTGAATACTGCATTTGGAAAAATTGAAAACTAAGCTTGCTGTTCAATTCTCCAATCTATACCGTCCTCCTCGAGGAATGAACTTTCGATCAACAAGCAGATTTCAGGGCCTAACTTTCTTTTTTGGACCGGAAGGAAACTGTAATGATATTAATTAGAAGTTCATTTTTATACTGTTGTCAGTACTTTAAACGGAGTGCCCATGAAGAAGGAAAGGCTATCATTTCATGATTACATAACCAGAAAACCAGTTTTATGAGTAGTTTTTGGTTTGCATGTCTTGTTAAGTTGTAATCAGATGTGAAGGCACGTTATAGCGCCAAGCAGTACACAAAAGGAGGCTATTCAGCCCACTAGGTCTCTGTGATCCCTTTGCAAAACAACCCAAATAGTCCCATACTGTTGCCTTTTCTCCATGGCACTGCAATTTTTTTCTTTTAAATCTTTATCCAAATTATTAATCCTTATAAAAGTTACTGCTATATCTGCTTCCACTGCCCTTTACTCACAAACATACCAATTTGGAGCAGGAATAGGCCGCACTGCTCCTTCGAGCTTCCTCCACCACTCAATGAGATCATGGCTGACCTGATTATTCCACATGCCCACCCACCTCAATAACCTTTCACTGCCCCATCCCTCGCTCATCAAGAATCTCTGCCTTAAAAATATTCAAAGACTTGGTTTCCACAACTTTTTAAGTGTTCCTGAGACTCTCGGCCTTCTGCAAGAACAAATTTCCCCTCATCTGTCATAAGTGGTGACCCTTTTAGACAGTGGTCCCTAGTCGTAGATTCACTCATGAGGAAACATCCTTTTCAGATCCACCCAGTTATGTTTCAATCAAATCAGTTCTTACTCTTCCAAACTCCAATGGATACAAGCTTAGTCTGTCTAACCTTTCCTTATGAGGAAACTTGCTCATTTCAGGTAGAGTAAACTTCCTCTGAACTGCTTCCAATCTATTTCCATCCTCCCTTAAATAAGTCAGAAGTCACATGACACCAGGTTATAGTGCAGCAGGTTCATTTAAAATCACAAGCTTTCGAAGCATTGCTCCATCATCAGGTGAAGCAGTGCTCCAAAAGCTTGTGATTTTACATAAACCTGTTGGACCATAACCTAGTGTCGTGTGACTTTTGATTTTGTCCACCCCAGTCCAACACCAGCATCTCCACGTCCTTAAACAAGGAGACCAATATAACACTCAGTACTCCATGCGTGCACTCACTAGTACCTTGTACAACTGCAAAAGCAACCTTTCTACTTTTGTACACAATTCTCATCACAATCAACAATAACATTTTATTATTTCAGACACTGCATTCCAGATCATAACCACAGCAGTGTGCAAAAGAATTCTCATCTCCCATAGATGGAGTTTTATGTTTGCTCTGTAAATAAATATTACTATTGGATTTCTGAGAGTGATCATCATTATCCAGTGAGGATATTCACATGATACAAAAAATGCAACTCAATATCCAAAACTATTGTAACAAGTAGTTAACCAACCAGAAGTTCTTTGACTGTTACTTGCACACTCCAGCAACTAACTTTTTTTTCTCTGAGAGACCAATACGAACAGTTAATTATAGCTCAAGGAGCCTGTCCAATACAAAAATGCACTGCCAAAACTGCTTCACCAAAATCAATTCATTTGCCCTGAGAGGACTGAGACGAGTTTATTGTGCACTCCTGAAAGCAAGCTTTTAAACATTGGTCAGTAACATTGCGCCTGAGGAAACAATAACAACAATAATCATGTATTTTTCAACTCAGTCAAGAATACTGTTTTCTCTTCTGTATTTGAATAAAAAGTCATCAGACAGATCCTAGATTTAAAAGTAAGCAGTGATTCTGCATTTGTGGCAGAGATTTCAATGGAATCCAATTATCTGCTTTGATAAACGGTAGCAGTCCCTCCAAAAACAACAGCAAGTTAATTCCTCTTTATTCCCTGTGGGAGGTCAATGTCCTCCAAGTAATTATAACGAACTGCCTACGTGCACTATTTCCTGTCACTCCATTATGGTTAACTGCTCCCTCACTTTCGCTTTTGTTTCAATCAAAGTTAAAATGTAAAATAAATAATACTGCAGTGACCCTCCACCTTAAAGAAAAGTACTTAACTTTCCACATTCTGGAAGTAACATTTCAGAAGGAGACCAAAACTAAGGATTATAAATATACAATAGTCACTTATAAATCTAATAAGGAATTCAAGTCACATTTCTTTATCCAGAAAGTGATGGGAATGTAGGACCCACTACCACAGGAAGAGGTTGAGGCAAATGGCAGAGTCATACAGCACAGAAACAGGCCCTTTGGCCCAGTGCCTAGTTTCCAAAACTGAACTAGTCCCATTTGCCTATGTTTGGCCCATATCCCTCTAAACAATGTCATTTAAATGTTGTAATGATACCCATCTCCAACACTTCCTCTGGCAGCTCGCTCTAGATATACACCATCGTGTGTGTGAAAAAGTTGCCCCTTAGGTTCCTTTTAAATCTTTCCCCTTGCACTTTAAACCTATGTCCTCTAGTTTTGGACTGACCTATCCGGAGGAGAAGATCTTGGCTATTCACTTTATCTATGTCCTTCATGATTTTATAAACCTCTATAAAGGTCACTATTCAACCTCCTATGCTCTGGGGAAAACAGTCCCAGCCTATCCAACCTCTCCTTATAACTCAAACCTTCCAGTCTATGAGACATCCTTATAAATCTTTATTGCACACTTTCCAGTTTAATGACATCCTTCCTATAGCAGGGTGACCAGAATTGTATACAGTACTCCAAATGTGGCTGTAACATGACATCCCAACTGCTGTAGTCATTGCTCTGACCAATGAAGGCATGTGTGCCAAACACCCTCTGCACCATTCTGTCTCCCTGTGATGCCACTTTCAAGGAATTATGGACCTGCACCCCTAGGTCTCTCTATTCAACAACACTCCCCAGCTCCCTGCCATTAACTGTAAGTCCTGCCCTGGTCATTCTTACCAAAATGCACCACGTCACATTTATTTGCATTAAACTCTATCTACCATTCCTCAGTCCACTGGCCCAGTTGATCTATTTAATGGAAGTCTAGATTAGACATTGCTTTAAAAGATGGTATATAACAGAAAGGGTATAAAGGTTCTGGAAACAAAATAAAATTATGATCTAAGAGGTTATCAAGATCAGGAAAGAATGAATAGATTGGATCTCTTTTCTTTGAAACTAGTCAGAGTTTTGAAGAACACTAATTTTGAAGAACAGTCAAATTCAACCTGAAACATTGACTCCGTTTCTCCATCTACAGAGACTGCCACACCTTCTTAGTTTTTCAAGCACTTTGTTTTTTTTTCAATGTCTGGAGTTTTTGCTTTTATTATATTGAATTTATACAATGCTGCACCTTTATCATAATAAATTATCCTAGGGCACTTCAAGGTGTTATCAGACAAATATGACAATGAGCCAAATAATGAGTCAGTTTGACAATAATTGAAAAGTTTGGTCAAAGTTTCAAGGCATGTCTTCAAGAATGAAAGAGAGAAAGAAAGAAAGAAAGAAAGAAAGAAAGAAAGAGAGAA